CATCGCGACCACCCTCCCCGAACAATTACGATCACGAACGCTGCGCTTCATCCGCGCATATGCTTATGGCCAGCGATCATGGTCTCGCTGCGCTGGCTCTCACCCCATCACCCTCCTCTTTTCCCATTGGCCACTTGCACCTGCGGCGACAGGACGAGGTCTGTGGATGAAATCCATCTCGCCCAAGGCGTCAAAAACTGGTCGCCGGGCGCGCGCGCAGGCCCGCCCGCGCGCGGCCGCGCGCGAGGCCCTTGCGCCCCCGAGCGAGCGGCCCCCGCCTGCAACCGCGGTTGCTGATGGGGGGGCCCGCCCCGTGAGAGCTGAAAACGAAGCCCAACAAAGACCTCGCACTCGAGCACCGGCGACGAGCCGGGCAGTCGCTGCGCGCCGGAGTGGCCCCCGCGACCACCAGTCGTCGAACTAGCTGTCGGCGCGCAGGAAAAACCAGCGGTTACAAAAAAAACATATCCGAGGCGACCGAAAACCACGTTCGCCGTTTGTCACCGCGCCTCCCGCGCCGAAGTCCCAGGAAAACAATCCCCGACCGACTGCGCACTTTGAGCGCGGGCGCCAGAGGAGCCGCGCTACCCGGACCAGGTCGCGGCGGCACCCGATCTGGCGACGTGCCCTGCGCACGTCGCTCTTGTGCCCATCTGCGAGCACATCAAGAGCAATTTGCGAATCGACCATTTGAGAAAGCATCGCCTCCCTATCAGAACACGCGATGCGCTCTGCTGCAGCCCGGGCCACGCCAAAGCGACACCTGCCTGGTGAGTCGGATGCACCCGCGCACGCCCTGGCCTCACTGGAACAGGACGCCGAGCCCGACCCGTTCTCCGACCACCGCGCCCCCAGACCGTGATCGTGGCAAAAGACGGCAGCGGGCGCGCCACCGGCGCCGCTCTGGATGCGCTCTACTGGCCAGGCGGGCCCAAAGGAGTCCGCGGCTTCAGCCTGGGCGCCCTGCCCCCGCACCCCTGCCGCGCGCGGGCGGCCCCCACGCGCGCGCGCCCAACCAGCTCAGCGTCGCGACCAGCGCAGCGCGCCAGCAGCCACTCCACTGACCACTCCGGCGCCGCTGCCGGGAGCGGAGGAAAAATGCCGGAAGCGACCGGCGCGCCTGCATCAGGGTGGCCCTGGCGCACATTCTCTAAACATCTAACTGCAGGGGGCCCGACGCCGCGAAATAAACGGAGGAGGGGGAGGGCAGGCTCGCCAGCGCAACCATTGTGAACTGGGTCCACCGAGGCAGCCAGACTTTGCTGGCGCGCCTCGAAGTTTCTCTTGTACACCTCAAGCAGAGCCAACCGTTCGAGGCGCACCTCGTTGATGCCAAAGCTGAAATTGAGCTGCGCTGCAAGCGAGTGTGCCGTGCCTCACGTTATCACAGTGGGCTGATCAAGCGGGTGGCTGGCCCCCATTGGCGGCTAACTGCACGGGCGCTTGCAGCCGTTGAGAAGGTGGCAGACCCCGCGACGGCACCGCGGCGACCTCGCCCCGGGGGCGAACCGCCACGGTGGAGTCAACGATCCCAACCGCGCGCCACAGCGAAGCCCTCCCCTTCGCCTGGCAGAGCCGCCCCAGGGGCGCCCTGGGCCACGGCGAGCAGGTCCGCGTTGGACCGCAGGGTCACGAAGCTGACAAGGGCGCAGGGAAGCGGCGGCGGCCGAGCAGCAGGCGGAGTGAGCAGGGGAGGAGGGCGGGGGAGGAGGGGGGAGAAGAAGGGACAGGCGAGGCAGCGGCAGCAGGCGAGGCCCACTAAGCCCCCCGGGCACCAAGTGGACCCCCTACGCTGCTTTAGCCATGAACCTCGGAGAATAAACCCCCAGGGATAGTAAAGTTCGGGGTTTTCAGGGAGATAATAAAAGTTGCCCGCCAAAGCCAGCATAAAAGAGATAGCAAGAGGAAAAAGCGAAAGATATGTTGAGGATTGTCTCGGTTGGGACATCCTCAACGAATTGCTTGTTTCGCTTGAGACATCCTCAAAATATTTGTCTGTTTCGCTTGAGACATCTTCACATTATTGCTTATTTCGCTTGAAACATCCTTGAGGAAGGAGGAGGAGGAGGAAGAGCAAGAGGAAGAGAGGATAATGAGATAGCAAAAATCCAAAATCTAAAACTTATTATATTAAATTTGTAAGCGCTTGATGAAAATAAAAATGTTCATCTGCTCGCGTAGGGTAGCTCACGTGCCTCGTTTTCCCAGGATAAGCAAACCCAGCGATAAACAAGTTCAGGGCGCCAAGGGGAGGAGGAGGAGAAAGAGATAGAGAGACAGAGAGAGAGAGACAGAGAAAGAAAGAACAAGAGACAAAAATAACTACAAAGAGACAGAAGGACATCGGTTTCGCTTGAGACATCCTTGAGGGAGGAGGAGGAGAAAGAGCAAGAGGAGGAGAGGAGAAGGAGATAGCAAAAGTCCAAAGTTTAAAACTTATTAAATTAAATTTGTAAACGCTTGATGACAATTAAAAGTTCAATCTGCTCGTGTAGGGTAGCTCACGCGCCTCGTTTTCCCAAGATAATCAACCCCAGCGATAAACAAGTTCAGGGCGCCAGAGGGAGGAGGAGGAGGAGGAGGAGGAGGAGGAGGAGGAGGAGAAAGAGATAGAGAGACAGAGAGAGAGAGAGAGACAGAGAAAGAAAGAAAGAGAGACAGAAATAACTACAAAGAGACAGAAGGACATCGGTTTCGCTTGAGACATCCTGAAACAGCATGTTCGCTTCGCTTGATGTTGTTATCTCAACGTAGGAAGGAAGTAACCTCGATGGCGAACTTTTCCCGTGATAATGAAGTTCGGCCTCCGCGCCCCCGCGCCCCCGACCAAACTCTTATTGGTCGACGATAAAAAAACTCTAACTACTTAAGGGGGGTACATGATTATCGTGGGCATGGGGTTACTCTCGAGCGACGCCATGCGCGCCACGGCCGGCGACAGCGAGTCGCCTTCGCCGCCTCCCGGGCGCGCCCTTCAACGCTCGTCGCGCCCCCGCGCCGCCTCGCGGCCGCGCGCCCTCGGCATCCGCAACCGGCCCCGCGGCCGTTCCTCGCCGGCGCCCTTGTCGCCCGCCTCTCCGCGCGCGAGGGGGCACATGCCATTCTGCTCGAGGTGGCCCACGAGGCACGGGTAGGAGCCCCGGCCTGCGGCGGAGCAGAAGAGGCAGCCGCGGCGAAACTGGCCCGCGCCCTGCTTCGAGCACTGCCCAAAGAGGAACCACCAGCACGGAAACGCCAGGCCGTTCCAGCAGGCGCCCGAAGCCCCAGCGGGCGCGGCAGCGCCAACCTCCACCACCTCTGTCTGGCAGCGGGCGAGACGGCTCCAACCAAAGTCGCCGAGGACGGCGCTCGCGTTAATGCGGCCCTCCTCGTCGCTCTCCCCGCGCTTGCTGCCCCCGTCAGCCTCGAAGCGCAGCTTGGAAGAGAAGAAGGCCGCGGCATGCTCCGCGACGGGCTGCGAGGCGGCTGTCGCGGGCGGCAGCGGCCTCCTGCACGACGCAGTTGCGCACGACCCCCCACGACACAATGCGCTCCAGAGCGGCGGCCCAGAGGCGAGGGAGTTCGCGGCAGAGCGTCTGCGTCACCGGACGCTGCGCGCGGCAGGCGTCGTCAGCTTTGGGCCCTGGGCAAGCCAGGAAGCGGCCAGCCCTGCGGGCCGTCGCGGCCCGCGGGGAGGGCAGCCTCGCCCGGCCCCCGAGGGCGCAGCGGCTCTCCCTGCCTGGACCGCTCGACCAGGCCGCGGAGCTGGCCTGCCTGCTCCCACTGGGCAGCGAGCTGCCTGAGGGCCTGCGCGTCCTGCCGGGCCGCTGCGGCCACCACCTCGCCAGGGCAGAGGTGGCCCGCTGCTCCGGCGGCTCGCCCGGCCCCGCGCCACCCCGCCGGCCGTGCGAAGGGGGGCGGGGCGCAGGGCTCCACCCAGAAGCCCGGCGGGCCCTCGCTGGCGAGGCTGCGGGGGGCGCGGCCGCTCGCGGACAGCACGCCCACCATCTCCTGGAGGGCCGCCCGGGTGCGTGGGCCGCGGGCGGCGGGCATAGGCCTTTGAGGAAGAGTGCGGCCGCCCAGCGTCCGGCGGTCCCAGCGGAGGTCTGTCGCGTCGTCCTCGCCGCAGTCGCACTTCGCGAGTGCCGCTGCGAGCCGCCCCCAGGGGCCCTCTGCAGCGAGCGCGCTTTGGCGGCCTCGCTCCCGGCGCCGAGCTTGGCACGGAAGGCCGCGAGGGTGGTTGCGCCTTCGAAGTGCCCACCAACCCCCTCCTCCAGCGCATGGCTGGCCCTGGCGGCGGCAGGAGCGGCCCTGGCAGGTGCGGCCATGGGGAAGTCTTTGGGGAGAAATCGACAGAGGAGAAATACAGTAAGCGGGTGACCGAAAAGTACGGCAGGCAAGCCTTGGACAAGCGGCCCCTACCCTCGATCCCCTAAACGGCGGCGGACGTGCTGCAAGGCACACGCACGCACGCGAATAGGCGCGAGGACGGGGAAGGTGAGAGATTAACATCGCTTCACCTTCGTGAATCCGAGTTGGTGCTGCATGATGATATTATCAACGGTGGTAGTATGCATGCCAGTATGTTTAGCTTTGTGCTTTGTAATCGCGCCTTAGTCGTAGCCATATTCGTACTATAAATTATATGTTACCAGATATTCTACAACCATGCACTCCTATGGTCCTCGTTTCCCTCGTCATGGTCCTCCCGCCTCTTTACTCTTCCCTTGCTACTTCTGATTGTCCTCCCTCGCTCCCTCTTTGCATCTCAACCTTCTCCTCCTGTTCCTCCTCCTCCTCCTCCTTTCTCTTCCTCCTCCTCCGCCTCCTCCTCTCATCCATTCCCACTTTTCCCTCCGTCCCTTCTCTCCCTCCACCTCCTCCTCCTCCTGCCTCCTCCTCCTCCTCCGCCTCCTTTCAGCGCGCGCGCGGGCGGACGGCGCTCACAATAGACGACGAACAACAACGGACGGCGGATACATCGGACGGGGACGACGATGACGACGATGACGACGAAGCGCCTCTCCATGGCGACTAGCACCGGCTCCAGGACGTCGATACAGGGCACCCCCCTCTTGCCAGCCTCGCGCCGCAGGAGGTCGCCGAGATCCGGCGAGGCCAGCGTGTAGATCAGCATCGCGCCCGCCTTCTCTGCCCTCCTCGTCATCCTCATCCTGCTCGACCTCTTTGTCCTCCTCCTACTCCTCTTCATCTTTCTCCTCCTCCTCCTCCTCCTCCCTTCCCAATCCCACCCCTCGTCCTCCTCCTCCTCCTCCTCATCATCCATCTCATCCTCATCCTCATCCTCATCCTCCTCCTCCTTCTCCTCATCCTCCTCATCCTCCTCCTGCTCCTCCTCCTCCTCCTGACCATACTCGTCATCATCGTCCTCATCCTCATCATCATCCTCATCCTCATCATCATCATCATCATCATCATCATCATCATCATCATCATCATCATCATCATCAGCAGCAGCAGCAGCATAATCATCATCAGCAGCAGCAGCAGTATCAGCATCAGCATCAGCATCATCAGCATCAGCATCAGCATCATAAGCATCAGTATCATCATGATCATCCTCATCATCATCCTCATCATCAGCATCAGCATCATCAGCATCATCATCAGCAGCATCATCATCACTATCACCATTATCACAATCATCATCATCAGCATCACGATCAGCATCATCAGCATCATCAGCATCATCTTCATCGCCACCACCACCACCATCAGCAGCAGAAGCATCTGTATCATCATCATCATCACTATCATGATCCACATCATCATCATTATCATCGGCATCATCATAATCAGCATCGTCACCATCACAGCATCATCGTTGCCATCATCATCATCACCACCATCACCATGAGCATCAGCATCATCATCTTCGTCATCATCATCAACAGCATCATCATTACCGTCGTCAGCCTCCTCCTCCATCACCGTCATCAGCAGCATCAACAGCAGCATCAGCAGCAGCAGCATCACCGTCATCCTCATCATCGAACTCGTCGTCATTATTATCACTATCAATTTCACGATCGCCACCATCAGCATCACAACCATCACCGGAATCATCCTCCTCATCCTCATCCTCATTCCCCTCTTCTTCATCACAATCGGCGTCATAACCACCATCAGCATTGCCAATACCATCGCAATCCTCGTCCCCCTCCGCCTCCTCCTCCTCCTCATCATCATCCTCCTCATCATCATCATCCTTAGCATCATCGACCTCAGCATCGACAACGTCATCGTCATCGGCATCATCATCAGCATGATCAGCATCATCATCATCATCATCATCATCATCATCATCATCATCATCATCATCATCATCATCATCATCATCATCATCATCATCATCATCATCATCATCATCTCATCATCATCATCATCATCATCATCATCATCATCATCATCATCATCATCATCACATCATCATCATCATCATCATCATCATCATCATCATCATCATCATCATCATCATCATCATCTCATCATCATCATCCTCATCATCATCATCATCATCATCATCATCACATCATCATCATCATCATCATCATCATCATCATCATCATCATCAGCAGCAGCAGCAGCAGCATCATCATCATCATCATCATCATCATCATCATCATCATCATCATCATCATCATCATCATCATCATCATCATCATCATCATCATCATCATCATCCGCATCATCATAACCACCAGCACCATCAGCATCAGCAGCATCGTCAGCATCATCGTCATCATCATGGTCATCGCCATCGTCGTCGTCATCGTCCTTGTCGTCGTCATCGTCATCGCCATTGCCCTCCTAAGAAGACCTGGATTAGTGCCGCCATCCCATCGCATCGCGCAACCGCTGCGCACGTACGCTTCGCAGAGACGCGCTCCGACAGGAGCGGGCAACGTCCCCCTGCGCCACCTGGCGCGGTTCCTCCTGTCTCACACTCACCATGCACCACGTCCGCCTTGCTGCAGTGAGGAGGGCGAGAAGAGAAAGAGGAGGAGGAGGAGGAGGAGGAGGAGGAGGAGGAGGAGGAGGAGGAGGAGGAGGAGGAGGAGGAGGAGGGAGGAGGGAGGGGGAGGGGAGGAGGAGGGAGGAGGAGGAGGAGGAGGAGGAGGAGGAGGAGGAGGAGGAGGGGGATGGGGGAGGGGGAGGGGGAGGGGGAGGAGGAGGAGGAGGAGGAGGAGGAGGAGGAGGAGGAGGAGGAGGAGGAGGAGGAGGTGGAGGAGAGGGAAACATAGGAGGAGAAGGGGAAGAGCGAAGACCGACAAGCACGGGGACGAGGCCCACGAGCTTGCGGGCATACGGCTGACCTCGAGGTCGAGCAGCGACCGAAGGCGCGAAGGGGAAGGAGTCGGATAAGGACGATACAAATACGGCGAAGATGACGTGGGAGAGAGCGAGAGAGAACACATATAATAGTGCGTAACACAGAGAGAGGTAGAGAAAAGAGAGAGAGAGAGAGAGAGACTTCGAGGACAAACAACAACTCTAAACTGAGCACACGATGAACAGACGACCAACACAAACACCGAAACAAACGAGAAAATCAACAAACAAACACGTTGCGTCATGCAACGTCCCGAGACCGAATGTGCCCTTCACCAGGAAATGTGACTGCCAGGGCGGGCCGCGGATGGCGTCCTTCATTAGATATTTCCCTCCTCCTCCTCCTCCTCCTCCTACGTCCCCTCCTCCTCCCCTCCTCCTCCTCCCCTCCCTCCTCCTCCTCCTCCTCCTCCTCGTCCTCCTCCTCATCCTCCTCCCTCCTCCTCCTCCTCCTCTCCTCTCTGCTCCTCCTCCTCCTACTCCTCCTCCTCCTCCTCCTCCTCCTCCTCCTCCTCCTGCTCCTCCTCATCTTACGTCCTCCTCCTCCTCCTCCTCCTCCTCCTCCTCCTCCTCCTCCTCCTCCTCCTCCTCCTCCTCCTCCTCCTCCTCCTCCTACGCCCCCTTCTCCTACGCCCCCTCCTCCCGTCACCCTCGACGTGACGGCCAGGAACAGCGGGTGAAACATATGATGGCGCGTCGGTCCATATCTCGACACGCCCGCCTGTCCGTCTCCAGGGATGCGCGGGGCTGGCTGGGAGCGGGACGGGGAGACGGACACAAAAAAGAAAAGGAGAGAGCAGAAGCAGGAGGAGAGCGAATGCATTGCGCCAACCTCAATACCCAGACATGCGACGTCCTGATGTTTTCAATAATTACGCAGTCCCCAAACGTCCCGACGCTTTCTCTGGGCTGGCTTCTCATCCTGAGACGTCTTTTGACGGTCCAGGGGCCGAAAACCTCGCGTCCTGATTTTGTTCACGCCGCGAGCGTGTCTGGGCAACCGAGTGCCCACGACCGCCACGAGTGGCAAGACGCCCACGTCATGCCAGTCAACGAGGCGCCGCGCGCATCTTTCGGGGAGACGTAAGACCCGGGTACGGGGGACTCGGAAATCCCCGACGAGGTCGTCAAAAAAATGACGAGGCCGAGCCTGCATTTTGACGAGGCCTCCCGCTGCAGACATCCCACGAAACTCCTCCTCGTCAAAATCCGAGGCGCGGTCGTCAAAAAACGATGGCGAACCCGAGTCCTGGCAAACCCGGGTCTTACGCTCCCCCGAATCTTGGATGCTCGTTCTGGGAACCTTCCTGGAGCCACTCGCTCCACTCGCGCGTCGAAGCTGCGTCGAACATCAGTCGATTTGGGTCGACCCTGAGTCGAACCTGAGTCGAACCTGAGTCGAACCTGAGTCGAACCTGAGTCGAACTTGAGTCGAACTTGAGTCGAACTTGAGTCGAACTTGAGTCGAACTTGAGTCGAACTGGGGTCGAACAGATCCGTTAGGTGGGCTCCAGGAAGGTCCCCGAAACGAGCCTCGAACGCATCCGCGGCAGCGGCTGCGGACGGCCAGCCCGCAGCCGCAACCCCGCTCGAGAGGCCGGTCCCCGGGCAGCTCCTGGGGCCCCTCGTGGCGCTTTTTGCCGAACCGCGGCGAGGGGGGCCTCACAGAAGGCAGAGGACGCGGAAGGCACACAGGAGGAGGAGGAGGAGGAGGAGGAGGCGGAGGAGGAGAGGGAGAAGGAGGACGAGGAGGAGGAAACAGAACGAGATGAAGATCATCACGAACGCAGGAGACAGCACCTGCGCTGCGGGGCCGAAGCAGAAGGCCGGCGCCGTCCCCGAGACGAGCCTGGTGTTCTCGGAGGAGGGGGGGGCGCCGCCACGGATGCCCCGCCCGCCCCACGAAGCGGAAGAGCACCAGGAGACAGAGGAGCATCCTCCTCCACCTCCCCCCTGGAGGAGGAGGAGGAGGAAGAGGAGGAAGAGGAGGAGGAGGAGGAGGAGGAGGAGGAGCTGCTCCCGCCAGGACGAGGCCGACGCGCAGCGGATCCACAGCTACACCACCAAGACAGACGCACGTCCTCGCCTTCCAGCTGCTGCGCCGCCTCCGCCGCCAGCGGCGCGCCCCCACGCGACCCAGGACTCGGCAGGTGGGCGCGCAGTCGGGGAGAGGTCGGGCCTGTCCCCCTACAGGGGATTTTCGACGAAAACCCAAAAATGCCCCCAAGAATAGGCCAAAGATGGTCCAGAAATAGCCTGGGGACCATTTCTGAGTATTGTTCGCCCTTTTGGGGGGTATCTTTGGGGCATCTTGCATTTTCCGTCGAAAGCGCTCGACAGAAAGTCAGGGAGAGGAGGTCCACGCCCGCGGCCGCGCACGGCGATGGTGATGGGCGTGTCTTCCGCCACCACCACCATAAGTTGGCGGGGGGGGTCCTCCTCCTCCTCCTCCTCCTCCTCCTCCTCCTCCTCCTCCTCCTCCTCCTCCTCCTCCTCCTCCTCCTCCTCCTTCTCTTCGTCCTCCTCCTCCTTCCCCCTCCAACTTATGGTGGTGGTGGTAGAAAACAGGCTCATCAGATGGCACCCGGCGCGGCGCCGCCCACTGGCACCGGTCCTGCGTGCAAGCGCCCACCTGCAGTGCCGGGTGCTCGAGCGCCCTGCGCGTCCGGGCGCCGAGGAGCCCGCAGGCCGTGCACGGCACCAGGGAGGACATCGGCGCCAGGCCCGGCGCGCTTGTCCGCGGCCACCGCCTGCGAGCCTTCCCAGAGATCCAACGTATTGAAAAAATCAAGACGCAGGTTTTTCGTAATTTTCGACCTCTAGGGGCCGTCGCCAGGCCCTGGGACCGTCAAAAAACGACTCAGGACGAAAAACCGGTCCCGGGGAATGGGTCGGGACCTCTGGGGGGCGCGTCATGAAAAAATCATGACGTCGGGGGTCTAGGTTGCCCGCGCGGGTGGTCCCAGTGCTGTATCGGGATGCGTGCGGGCACCGGTGCGGCAAGTCGAGGTGCAGAGGCTGCCCCTGCTCCCGTTCCTGCTGCTGATGCTGCTGTTCGAGGGAACCCCACGCTATGTTCGCTAGCGTCCCCGAGATCAACGACGGGATCCCTCGGCTGCAAGCAGGCGCAGGGTGCCCAGAACGTTGACCTCGAGGCCGCCCGAGAGGGCTCCACTGAACGCGAGAGAGGTCGAGCCTGCCTGGCGGCGGTGGGGTCGCCACGCTCGCTCAGCAAGGATGGCTGGCCACCCTCGCCGAATTGGAAGGAATAAAGGCCTCCCCCCTGCACATAGGATCCCCCCCGAGACGTGAAATGTCCCCCAGCCCCGCGACAAATAAAGAGTAGGGTACCTGGACCGTGGCGTGGGGGTGGGGGCCGACCTCCTCCTCCTCCTCCTCCTTCTCCTCCTCCTCCTTGTCCCCCTCCTCGTCCCCCTCCTCCTCCTCCTCCTCCTCCTCCTCCTCCTCTTCCTCCTCTTCCACCTCCTTTTCATCCATCGCTCTTCGCTGCGTTATAGACAACACCTCCCTGCCGCACCACCAGACGTGCCATGAGGGCGGGCTGGGCGTCTCGCCCCGGACACCAACACTATTCGCCACCTCGAGGCCAGCAACTTCCGACAGCTGCACGGATGGAGCACCGGAGGTCTTCGAAGTGGCCGCCGAAGGCCGCCGCGGAGGCCGCCGAAGAGCCGCCGGCAGCCGCCGCGGGCCGCCTGCTCTATCCGCAGCGAGTCCTGCGGAGCCGCCGACGCCGCCCGCAGGACGACGCTCCGCACGTCGTCCTCGCCACACCGCGCCGCGGCGGCGACGACGAGCGAGAGCGAGCGACAGACGACGACAGGCGACGGCGACGGCGGCGCGAACGACGGCGGCGACGGCGAACGACGACGGCGACGGCGACGGCGACAACGTGGGCGGCGGCGGCGACGGAGCGAACGAACGAACGAACGAACGAAGGGCGGCGGCGGAGACGGCGGCGGCGAACGAACGAACGAACGAACGAACGAACGCACGGTGGCGGCGGAGACGGCGGCTGCGGCGGAGAGGGGACGGCGGCGCGCGCCGCGGCGGCCATCCTCGCTGCGTATGCCCGGGCACACCTGCACGTCGGCTTCCTGGGTCCAGGGAGAGGGGCGCCGGGCCCCGCGGCTGACGGGCCCGCGCTCCCCCGACCACGCCCCTCCCCACACCCTCACAAAGGGGGCGGGGGCGGGGGGGGGGAGAGGGCGTGGCGAGGGAGGGAGGGAGGGACAAAGGGGGCGGGGGCGGGGGGGGGGAGAGGGCGTGGCGAGGGAGGGAGGGAGGGACGAAGGGAGGAAGGGAGGGGGGAGGGAGGGGGCGAGGAGGGAGGGAGGGAGGAGGAGGAGGAGGAGGAGGAGGAGGAGGAGGAAGAGAGGGAGGGGAGGGAGGGAGGAGAGAGGGAGTGGGAGGACCGGAGAAATGAAGGGGAGGGAAGGCGGGGAGGGGAGGAAGGGAGGGGAAGTGATGGGGAGGAGGAGAGGAGGGGAGGGGAGGGGGGAGGGAAGGAGGGGAGGGGATGGGGAGGGGAGGAGAGGGGAAGGGAGGGGGGAGAAAAGGAGAAGGGCGGCTGCGCCCTTGCCCGGGCCTGCTTGCCCCTCTGCGCGCGGGAAGCTGCCCTGGGCAAACCTGGGGACGATGGGAGGATAAACAAGGTAAACAAGATGCACTAGATACATCGGGTCCTACCTCTACCGTGTAGACAGGACCTGTCCTGGCCCCTCACCGCGAAGGCCTCCCCGTGGTCGGGTGGTGGCCCTTCCACAGACGGTTCAATCTGCCCTGTGCAGTGGGTCGGTGAAATGGAGGAGGAGGAGGAGGAGGAGGACGAATAATAACTGAAGGAAAAGGAGGAAGAGAAACAGAGGTCCTCGTCCCTCGTCCTCTTCTGCCTACCATCGTTTCCCAAGCAACCCTGGCATTTTAGAGTTTGACTTCTCTTCTACAGCTGGGGGGGGTCGGTTTGGCGGCTATGTTATCGCCGTCGCCGCCCAGTTGCCGCTTCGTCGCCGCCCGTCGTCTGGGGGGGGGGCGGTTGGCGGATATGTTGTCGCCGTCACCATTCCGTCGCCGCCTACATTGCACAACGCAGTAGGGTCTACCCCCCCGCCGGGGTTAACCTGCCACCTTTTCGTATTGAAGTTTTACGTACGATTCTGCCCTGTCGCCCATCCGAAATATCCGCCGACCCTGTCGGCGTGTGCGAGGGGCTTGGCTGTTCGAGTCGTCGTCTCCGTCGGTCGTCGCCTCCGTCGTCCCCTTTCCCTGCAGCTTCCTTCTCAAGCTCGTGAGCGAGAGAAAAATCTAGCAGTGTCGTAATCGAGTCGAAGGGAAGCCCTTCCCTTCGATCCCTTCCCCAAGGGGGGGGGGGTCCCGGGGGGGGTCCCGGGCCGGGGGGGGTCCCGGGGGGGGTGGGGGGGCAGATTCGTTTTCCCTCGGGCGGCCTAGAACCTCGAAAACACTCCAAATGAGGTCCGAATGCCCAAGATGGCCCCCGAGACGGCCCAAGAGGGCCCCGAGTCGCCCAAAGATCGGCCGAAAACGCCCAAGATAGCCCCAAGACCGTCCAAGAAGCCTCCAAGACGTCCCAGGCCCCCTCCAAGAGACCCCCAGGAAGCCCCAAGAGGCCCCCACGAGGTTTCCAAGCGGCCCCTAAGAGCTTCCCAAGAGGCCCACAAACTACCCCCAAGAGGCCCCCAAGAGCGCTCGTCGTCGTCGTCGTCGTCGTCGTCGTCGTCGTCGTCGTCGTCGTCGTCGTCGTCGTCGTCGCCATTCAGGGTCGGCGGCACCGGCCGTAAGGCCTTCGCAATGAATTCGTACCATCCCAGGCAGGCCGGTATCGCCCCCCTCTTCCATCTTTTATTTTTTAAAGAACACTATGCGCGCGCACTCGCGTTTACCATCAAGTATCAGTTGCCAGGAGCCCCGTGCCAACAAAAAACGAAGTGCACACGCGCGCGCCGTCGCGCGCGCATGCCGAAATTAGTCAAAAACCGTAGGTTTCGTGGGGTTTAAAAAATCGAGAATCACGACAACAAAAAAACATGGTCTCGCAACGACAAAGCTCAAACCAAACTTGCGCGCGCGCTCTTGCGAATTCCGACAGGACCCACAGGCCATTTTCATAGCTACCAAGCGGGCCTCTCGCGCGCGCATGCCGAAGTCGGTCGAGCGCCCTTGCGCACGAGCTGTCGCAAGAATCCCTTGCACAACAAATATAACGAAATACGCACGCGCGCGTCGTCGCGCGCGCATGCCGGGATCCTTTTAAAAACCTTGGGTTCCGTAAGGCATTCCATATCGAGAGTCACGAAAACACAGCAACACATACGATTTCGCCACAAGCGGGTTCACAAAAAACTGCGCGCGTTGCTGCGAATTCTATTTTCCGAAAGAAATGCTTTCACATTCTCATCAAATGCTACCAACTGGGCCTCTCGCGCGCGCATGTCGAGATCGGTCGAACGCCTTTGCGCGCGTGCTGTCGCAAGAACCCCTTGCAACACATGGGGCGAAGTGCACGCGCGCACGTCCTCTCGCGCACGTGCCGAAATCCTTCAATCAACCATTGGCTCCGTGAAATTTCAAAGTCGCGCGCCCCGCAAAACAGATAAACACGCATGGTTCTGCAACATCAGCTTTCGAAAAACTGCGCTCGCAGTCCTGAAAGTTCTCACGCAATCCATGCGTTCTTACAACTTTCAATAAATTCTACCAAACGGACATTCCGCGCCGCATGTCGACATCATTCGAACGCCCTTGCGCGCGGGGGGGGGTGGGGGTGCGATCCGTGTCAGATAATACCTGCGGGCCAGTCTCGCGCGTCGGCCGCGCGCGCCTGTCGAATTCCTTCCAAGACCTCCAACACCGACGCGAGGACGCCGTCATCGTCGCCAGCGCAATCAGCTGCGGCGCCGTCACTGGCCGCGCCGTCGCCGTGGTCACTATCGTCGCCAGCGCCGCTACTATCATCATCGCGTCTACCGTCGTCGACGTCGCCATGATACCGCGCCCACCCGAGTGGCCAACTCGCACTGAAGCGCCCGCTGGGAATCGCCAAGAGGTCAGCGCCACCGCGGCCGCGTCAATCGCACCAAACTAACTGGCCGCCGCGCGCGCGAGCGCGCGCGGCCAGCGCGGCCGAAGACGCGCGCCAGCCAACAGCAGGCATTGATCGCAATCGCTGCCGCATGTGGTTTGCAGAAAAATCTGCGGGCAGGCGGGTGGGGCGATTGCGCGCGCAGTGGAAATGACCGCTGCGAATTCCACAAATAAGTCGCACCCTTAATCTTCATGCTAAACAAATAATAGACCCCTGCCCTCCCGAAGCCGGAATTAAAGGCCCCCCCTCGCGATGCGCAGTTCGCATGTAATTCTGACCCCGCGCCCATTTTACCCATGAGTTCACGCCATCCCAGCCCGGCCGGCATCGACCCCCCAATCCCTTACCCCCTGCAGCAAAACACGATGCACGCGCACTCGTGCATCAGAAATCCTCAGTTGTCAAAAACCCCCTGCAATAAATGAAACGAATAGCACGCGCGCGCGTCGTCGCGCGCGCGTGCCGAAATCCCTCAGAAACCGCTGGCGTCGCAAAGATAAATGGAGCGCCATAAAAACAAATTAAAAGACATGGTGTCGCAACACGAGTGCTCAAACAACAGAAAATGCGCGCTCGCGCTCTTGCGATTTCTTTTGCATGCAATGATTCCGAATTGGCCTCCCGCGCGCGCGCGTCGAAAACGCCCGAGCGCCCTCGCGCGCGCTGCCGCGAGAGCCCGACACAAAAGAACGGGGCGAAGCGCGCGCGCGTCGTCGCGAGCGCGCGCCGAAATCCTTGGCGTCTGAGGGGCGTCACTATCGAGCGCCGCGAAACCATGTAAAAAACACGGCTGCGCAACGTAAGTGTTTTTCTCATGTAAAAAAGCGCTCGCGGTCTTGCGGGTTCTTGGAAAATGCCATCGGCTGTCCAAGGCGGCCATCAAATTCTGCCAAGCGGGACACTCGCGCCGCGCGTCGAGCACATTCGAACGCCCTTCCACGCGTGCCGGGGGGGGGGGGGGGCGCGACCCGGGCGACGCCGCGCGGTCCACTCGCGCGCGTCGGCCGCGCGCGCACGTAGAACGCCTTCTCCGCGGCGCAAGGACATAGTCGTCGTCGTCGGAGGGCGCGGTCAACATCGGCGCCGCCATTGCCCCGCCGTCGCCGCCGCCGCCTCCGTCACCATCATCGCTGCTTCTATAACCGCGTCTCCCGTTGTCGGCATTGCCATGATACTGCGCCCGCCGAAGTCATCGCCTCGCACTGGGGCGCCCGTTAGGAAGCGCCCGGCGGTCAGCGCCACCGCGGCCGCGTCGGTCGCGCCAGACTAGCCGGCCGCTGAGCGCGCGAGCACGCGCGGGCAAGCGCGGCCGCAGAGACGCCCCAGCCAACGCCCAACACTCGTCGCAATCGCCGCCGCATGGGCCCTGCAATCCGCCCCGCGGGCGGGCGGGCAGGATGGTTGCGCGAGCCGCGCAGTTGACGACCCACTGCGAACAACAATAAATTCTCCTTTCTTAAAATACACTGCCTTCCCCTCGGATCCCCCCTCTTTTCGCAGTGCGATCTGCGCGCGCGGTTCTCCCCCGCCGTTCGTCCTAAATATGGATTCGCGCCGCCCCGCGGGGGCGGGCGTCGACGCCCCCCGCCGCCCCCCGCGCGCGCCCGCTTATCAAGAAACATCAGTTTCCAAGAACCTTTATTTATATGCGTATAAAACTATACATCAAACAAACAAGCACACAAAAACGCGGAACGAAATGCACCCGCGCGCGTCGTCGCGCGCGCACGCTGGGACCCTTCGGAAACCTGAGATTTTGAGAAGGCGCCGCGACCGAGTGTCGAAGCGACGCGCGCGCACGTCGACATCGCTCGAACGCCTCGCGCGCGCTGTCGCGAATATCATTCGCAAAGAAAAAAGGGGCGAAACGCGCGCGCCGCCGCGCGCGCGCCGAAATCCGCCGCGCAAGCCGCAGATGTCGCGAGGATTTCAAGACCGAGTGTCCCGAAACCCCCCAAAAAAGTTCCGCAACGACAGATTCCAAAAAAGCTCGCGCCCGCGCCCATGCAAGTCCCTGCGAAAACTATGCGTCCCACGTGCTCGCTGAATTCTGACAAGCGGGCCCTTCACGCCCAGATCATCCGAACGCCCTTCCGCGCGCGCAGGGGGGGTGCGCGATCCGCGTCAAGCAATGCCACGCGGGCCACTCTCGCGCGTCGGCCGCGCGCGCGCGTCGAACTCCTCCCAAAACCTTGATCGCCGACACGAGGGCGCCGTCATCGTCTTCGGCGTGCTCAGCATCGGCGCCGTCACTGGCCGCGCCGTCGTCGTTGTCAACATCGTCACCATCATCGTTACTATTAGCGTCGTGTCTGCTGATGTCGACGTTGCCATGATACCGCGCACGCCCAAGTCGCCGACTCGCACTGAAGTGCTAAATTAGCTGGCCGACCCGCGTCGGTCGCGCTCAACTAGCTGGCCGGCGCGCGCAAGTGCATGCGCGGGCCGGCGCAGCCGAGAAATGCACCAGCCAACACAAAGTACTCGTGGCAATCGCCGCCGCTCATTTTTTGCAGAACAACTTGCGGATGGGTGGGTGGGAGGATTGCGCGAGCAATAGAGTTGACAACTGAGAACTCCATAAATGAATTCTCCTTTACAAGAAAAGAATAGACTCTACCCCCCCAAGAGTTAACGGCCCCCCTGGGGTATTGCAATTTCAAACACTCGTCCATCCTGAATACGAACTCATACTATCCCAGCCAGGCTGGTGCCGCCCCTTCCCCGGCCATCTCTGTCAAATCATACTACGAGAGCACACTTATTCATCTGAAGAAAGCAAATTGCAATAATCCATTGCAGAAACAAATGCCGCAAAGTCATCACGCGCGCCCATGTCAAAATCGCACCAAACAATGCGTGCGTAAGCATTTCAGCACAAAAACCTCAACAAAAACAAAAGGTTTTGCAACAAATAATTCAAATTTCCGGTCCGCGCGCTCATGCTAAAATCATACATCCCTCGTCGTTGTGGTCGTTGTCGCCGTCGTCGTCCTCCCTCCTCCCTCGTCGTCGTCGTCTTCGTTGGCGGCGTCGTCGTCGTGTTCGTCGTTGCCGTCGACGGCGTCGTCGTCGTCGTCGGCGTCGTCGGCGTCGTCGTCGGTGTCGTCTGCGTCGTCGTCGTCGTCGGCGTCGTCGTCGGTGTCGCCGTCGTCGTCGTCGTTGTCGTCGTCGTCGACATCGTTGGGGCCGTCGTCGGTGTCGTCGTGCTCGTCGTCGTCGTCGTCGTTGTCGCTGTCGTCGTCGGCGTCGGTGTCGCTGCCATGTGCAATTTCGCACCTACTGTCACAGTCCCAACAGGTCTTGCGACCAAGTTGCGGGTGGGAGGGTGGGATGTTTACACGAGCAGTGGAGAAGACAGCTTCATGGTGAGCAAATGATTACTGCACCACATAGCTTGCACCACATGTACTTTCCCTTCTTACAAAAAAACAGATCCCCCACGCGGTTTTATGGGTCCACCTTTTCGTGTTGCAATGTACATGTGCTTTTGCCCCATCGCCCATCTTTAGTATGAATTCGTACAACCCCAGCCAGGCCAGCATCGACCCCCCACGCGCCATCCTCGGGAAAAAATGATGCGCGCGCACTCGTTAATCAAACATCCGAAGTTTTCAAAGCCAAAACAAACGAAGTGCACACGCGCGCGTCGTCGCGCGCGCATGCTGAAATCCTTCGCAAGCCTTCGGTTTCGAAAGGGTTTCAAAATCAAGAGTCCAACATACATATAAACACGCATGGCTTCGCAACACCGATGTTCAAAAAAGCCGTGCGCGCGCGCTCTTGCGAAATCTTACGAAAACCATGCAGCATGTTCAGAAAATGCCACCAGACGGACATCGCGCGCGCGAGTGTCGAAATCGTTCGAACGCCGTTGCGCGCGTGCCGTCGCGAGAACCCTGTGCAACAAATCGGGCGAAGTGCACGCGGGCGCGTCGTCGCGCGCACGTGCCGACATCCTTCAAAAACCTGCGGTGTCGCAACGATTTCAAAACCGAGCGTCCAAACAAACATTCAAAAACACACGGTTTCGCAATATCCGTTTTCAAGAAAAACTTGCGCGCGCGCTCTTGCGACTTCTTTAAAAACATCGGTTTCCAACATGTTTATTGAATTGTGTCAAACGGGCTTCTGGCGCCGCGTGCCGACATCATTCGGTGGGGGGCCACGATTCGTGTCAAATAAAATTATGCGGACAACTCTCGCGCGTCGGCCGAGCGCGCATGTCGAACTCTCTCCACAACCTTCATCGCCGACCCGAGGACGCCGCCATCGTCTTCGGCGTGATCAGCATCGGCGCCCGCACTGGCCGCGCCTTCGTCGGTGCGAACATCACCAGCATCGCTACTGTCATCATCGTGTCTACAGTTGTCGGTCTTGCCATTATACCGCGCCCGCCCAAGTCGCCGACTCGCAGTGAAGCGCCCGCTGGGATGCGCCCAACGGTCAGCGCCACCGCGGCCGCGTCGGCGGCGCCAAACTAGCTGGCCGCTGCGCGCGCGTGCTAGGGTTGGCGCGGCCGCAGAAGTGCACCAACCAACGCCAAGCATGAATCGCAATCGTCACCGCATGGGTTTTGCAAACCGAGTTGCGGGTGGGTGGGATGTTTGCAAGAGGATGCGATGTGTCAACTTGTTTGTTTAAATCTCTTGCACCACATATATTGCACCACCCATATCGCACAGCATAGATTGCCCCCCACAGATTGCACAGCATAAATTCCCAGAAAAGTTACTGTTTGGGACACACGCTGGCCAACCATATTATTATTATTCTTATTAGTAGTATTGTTATTATTATTATTATGATTATTATTATTATTATTGTGTCTTGGTTTCTTCTGTACCATAAGTATTATTTTTCGCTTATTATTGCTATTATTCGTTTTCTTCCTCCTGCTCCTTCTCAGCGGTCATAGAGAGCATGCAAATGCAAGCTGATCCGGCGGGGGCCTCTCCGGCCACACCGCCCTGTCTCATTCGACTTGGGGGCGGGGGAGGCGTGGGTGGGCGGGACGCAGTGCTCAAAGCTTTCGGGGACCGCCCGCGAGTGCTCGCGATGGGTCGTCTGGCGATCCAGCGAGCGTCGGCCGCCTCTGAGGACCCCGACTGCGAGGAGGGCTCGGACGAGGGTGGCGTGTGCTCTCTCTGCATTGCCTCTCGGGCCAACTCAAGCCGAGCAGCCAAGGTCCTCTTCTTGCGCAGACCGCCCGGCGCTCCGCCCGTGGCTTGAGGAGCCAGGCGTAGGTCGGGCATGTCCCCCTAGAGGGGGAGCTTGGACGAAAAAGTAAAAGTAGTCAAAACATAGTCCCAAATGGTCAAACAAATACTCAAAAAAATACTCCCCAGACTATTCTTTGACTATTTTTGCATGCTCCTCCTGCAGAGGGACAGGCCCGACTGAAAGCCAGGCTCCTCCTGCTCCTCCTGCTCCTCCTCCTGCGCGGCGCTGCCCGCCCTCGTCCTCGCTGGACCCGAACTGCGCGAAGCCGGCCACCGCCAGCGCCCGCGCGACCCCGCCGGTGCCGTCGGAGACCGCGAAGATGGCGGGAGACCCCCACTGCGCCCTGCGAGCCCTGGCCCCACGACTGAGGGGCAGCGATAGGGGAAGAGGAGGAGGAGGGGGAGGAGGAGGAGGAGGAGGAGGAGGAGGAGGAGGGGGAGGAGGAGGAGGAGGAGGAGGAGGAGGAGGAGGAGGAGGAGGAGGAGGAGGAGGAGGAGGAAGGAGGAGGAGGAGGAGGAAGGAGGAGGAGGAGGAGAGGAGGAGGAGGGAGGAGGGGAGGAGGGAGGAGGGAGGAGAGGAGGAGGGAGAGGGAGGAGGGAGAGGGAGGAGGAAGGAGGAAGGAGGAAGGAGGAAGGAAAGGAGGAAGGAGGAAGGAGGAGGAGGAGGAGGAGGAGGAGGAGGAAGGAGGAGGAGGAGGGAGGAGGAGGAGGAGGAGGAGGAGGAGGGGGGGGGGGGGACTGGCACAGGAAGGGGGGGGGGGGGACATCGACCTGGACTCGGCGATCCCTCGCCGACAGATCGGCGACAGGCCCACGACAGTGAGGTCCGCACCTTCCTGGGCAAGCTGGGGCTATCGGGCCCCCATCGGCGATCCATGGGGCGATCGGGGGTCGATGCGGCCCCCCCTATGCCTACCCCCCCCCCTAACGCTGCCCCCGAATGACTTTCGCCGAGCCGTCGGCGGCGAGCCCGCCGGGGGAAGCGAGACGGGGCAGCGATGGCCACTGCTTCACCACCACCGCCGTGGGCAAGACGGGGGAGAAGAACACACGGGGAGGTCCTACTGCTCCTCCTCCTCCTCCTCCTCCTCCTCCTCCACTTCCTCCTCCTCCTCCTCCTCCTCCTCCTCCCTCCTCCTCCTCCTCCTCCTCCTCCTCCTCCTCCTCCCCCTCTTCCTCCTCCCTCTCCTGCCTATGGTAGTGGTGGTGGTGGGAAATCGGCCCATCAGGCAGGCCTCCTCAGACGGCCGTTGGCTTCTCAGAAGCCCTCGCGCCTTCTGAGAGGCTCTCTTTGAAGGGGCCCAGGGACACACAAATAAATACACACAAATAATAAGATTCCCCATATTTTCCTATATTTTTGGTGTTTTTGTCTTCCCCCCACTTCCCATATTTTCCCATATTTTCTGGGTAAATCGACGATTAATTGTGTCTGTGTGTTTTTTCCCCTCCTGACTCTTGACCTTCTCTTAGGGAAATCAAGAGGTACGGATACCGCTACTCCCCAGACCTCTCCCGGGGTGCGTTCTGACCAGAATTTCGAGGCGAATCCAACGGTGGCGACGAGGGCCTCCCAGGAAGAGGCGAGAAAGGGGAAAACTAACGAAGGGAGGCGATATGGGTACCTGTTTCCTCCTCCGACCTCCGAAGTCACAGAAAGCTTCCCAGAAGGCCAGAGGGCTTCTGAGAAGCCCTAGCGCCGTCTGAGAAGGCCAACTCCTGCTCACTTACAGCCAGACCTAAGACAGAAGAACATCCTCCAAGAAAATGAGACCGTCCGCCGGCCAAACTGAAGAGCATTCGAGGGTCCCCTCCCCCATGATGCACAAGAACATCCAACAAACACGAAGAACATTAAGGCACCCTCCCCGAGGCGACCTCGATCCTACACCTCGGTCCGACCGAACACCCCTTGAGCGCGCCGCCGACCAGCCCTCGATGGTCTTCCCTGGGATCCGGGCGCTGCACTTGCTTCAAGGGTTTTCGTTGTCGCATTGTTTCCCCGACCATCCTGTGGTGTTGGGTCCCCGCTTTGAAGAGACGGCGCCCCGCGTCTCCTCTCCTTCCTCCTCCCCCTCCTCCAATCCCTGCCCACTGAAAGCGGTGCCACAACACTGCACTCAGAACTGCACATGGTTGGGTCCTTCGCCGGGATAGTTTCAAGAACAAGCGTTTTCGCCAGGCTTCGAGGCCCCCAGGCAATGACGGATCCATCCAGCCCGAGAAATGCCCAGTTCTGGGCGTTGCAGCTTTTTACGCACTGGGCGTTTCCACCTAAGTTTCGGGCCCCGAGACCATCACAGATCGATGCGGCTCTAAAAATGCCGCAGCAAGATGGGGTCTGGGGCTCTGGTCTTGATTTTTCGCGATTGCTTCACTTTTGTCGCAACATCGGATCTCAGAGGATGATATTATCTCTCGATCCTCGATCCTCTTCCGCCTCCAGCCTCCTCCAACATATCTTTATCCTCCTCGTCATCCGTCATCCTCGATCCTCCTCGATCCTCGCCTCGATAGCCGATTATCCGTACTATTCCTCCCCCTCCTCAATCATACTCCTCGTTCTCATCATCTTCATTATTGGCTGCAGCACGGCCCCTCGGGTATGGCCAAAAGTGTCCAAAATGTCTTCTTCCTCCATCGCCATTCATTACAAATAACTTCTCCCTGCCGTACGAGGAAACGTGTTGGTAGGGCGGGCCGGGTTTTTGCTTGAGACGTCCTCATCATGTATGATTGTTAAGCTTGCAATTTGCAGAAGTTTTCAAAATGGAGCGATCGCCGTAGCGGCGCGCACAGCCGTCTGAAGAACATGCAGCGGTCACAATGATTGAGCTCGGCGCGCACATTCGTCTTACAAGCTTGCATCAGCCACAAGGATGGAGGGCAATCCCATTCCAAAGTTGGACAATCTCTCAGCCCCGCGCACGTTCGTCTTCAGAGCTTGTAACACCTATCCGGATGGAATACGGATGAACCCCAAGAAGTTGCCATCGCTATAGCGCTGCTCTTTAGTGGTTTATAGCAATTACAGCGATGGAGCACAGGTTCCTTTTCAAAACGAGACTCTCGCCTGAGCGTCGCGCACATTCAAATTGAAAGCTTGCAACCGATACGAGGGTAGAGAACGATAAAAGGAGGTTCTCGCTTGAGACTTCAATGTAGTAGCAATTGCACAAATGGAGGGCAGCTCCTTTTCACAATGTAGCTCCCGCTCGAGACTTGCACGAAACTCACGACCCGAAGTGCGAACTTGTGCAACTGTTACACGGATGGGAGGGGGAGCCGTCTTCCGCCTCAAGAACAAATCTCGCTAGACACCTCGTTCACTTGTATATTCATACTTTTTCGCACTCCATACTAGATGCCAATAAAATGCAAGGCAATTCCTTTTCAAAATGGGGCTCGCGCCTCAACGACAGGCCCATCAATTATTGTAGTGGGACGGAAGGTTTGCAGCGACTTCTGTGGAGGGGACTTGGGACGGGAGGGTGAATTGCAGCGTCGATGATGCATCTTAGGTTTACTCTGGTCATCTTCCTACTCCTCGTCCTCATCATCGATCCTCTTCCTCATTCTGCTTATCCCCCCTGATCATCGAACCTCAATCATCCGCCTCATCATAATCATCGATCCTCTTCACCATGAAATACCCTCCTCCTCCTGCTGCTACTCCTCCTCCTGGATCATCGATCCGGTCCTCTTCATCACCCTCCTCTCCTCCTCCTCATCCTCCTTGTCCTGCTCGTCCTCGGTCCTTGACCCTCTTCGTAGGCATCAGCTTCCTTCCTTCCACTCCTCCTCTTCCTCCTCGTTAGGCTTCTCCTCGTCGTCATCCTCCTCTTCCATCTGCTCCTCCTCCTTCTCCTCGTCATCTTCTTCCTCATCCACGGCATCATCAGCAGCAGCAATCGTCACAACATCATCACAATCACCACCACCATGACCATCACGACCATCCTCATCAGCATCATCGTCGTCATCATCATCATCATCCATCAACAGAATCACCATCATCACAAGCACTATCATTGTCATCATCTTTGTCAGCATCACCAGCGCCATCAACAACATCATCGCCATCTCCATCACCATCACCATCAAAACCAGCATCCTGATCACCATCGCCATCCTCGACTACCTTCCTATTGCTCCCCCTTCCTCCTTCTTGTCCTCCTTGTCACCACCGATCATCGATCCTCTGACCTCCTCCTCCTCCTCTTTCTCCTCCTCCTGCGCGGCGACGCTGGCCGCCCTCGTCCTCCTCCTGCTCCTCGTGAGCTCGTTGGTTTCGCATCATGAGATGTCCTCCTCCTCCTCCACCTCCTCCTCCTCCTCCTCCTTCTACTGTTCCTCATCATCATCACCACCACAATCATCATCAGCAGCAGCAGCAGCAGCATCATCATCATCATCATCATCATCATCATCATCATCATCATCATCATCATCATCATCATCATCAACATGATCACCATCATCATCATCATCATCATCATCATCATCATCATCCTCATCAGCATCATCATCAGCATCAGCATAAGCATCATCATCATCATCTGCATCGTCATCATCAGCAACATCAGAAGCGACATCGGCCTGCCGCAGCCTCATCATCATCATCATCATCATCATCATCATCATCATCATCCTCATCATCCGCATAATCAGCAGCATCATCGTCATCCTCATGATCATCATCCACATCCTCATCCCCATCCCAATCCTCCTCCTCCTCATCATCAGCAGCAGCATCAGCATCAGCATCGTTATCAGTATCATCATCCTCATCATCATCCTGAACACCATCATCAGCAGCAGCCGTAGCATCATCATCATCACCCTGAACAACATCATCATCAGCATCATCAGCCTCACAATCATCAGCATCATCATCCTCCTCATCATCGGTATCATAATCATCGGCATCATCAACACCATCGTCATCATCAACATCATCATCGCCGTCGTTATCATCATGGTCGTCATCATCACCGTCACCATCACCACCATCAGCATCAGCAGCATCATCATCAACAACATCAGCATCATCAGTAGTATTATCAGCAGAACCAACATCATCATTAGCATCACCATCAGCATCCCCATCGTCATCACCATCAGCAGCATCGTCGTCGTCATCGTCAAACGCATCAGCGCCACCATCACCAGCATCATCATCAGCAGCATAGCATCATCGTCATCCGCATCATCATCAGCAGCAGCATTAGCATCATCATAGGCATCATTGTTATCATCATCCTCATCAACATCCTGATCGTCATCGCCAGCGTCACCATCAGCACCAGCATCAACATCGTCATCGGCAACATCACCATCATCATCAGCATCAGCATCACCGACATCATCAGCATCAACATCACTGTCATCAATCCCTCATCATCCGCATTGTCATCGTCAGCGTCATCGTCATCATCTGCACCAGCTTCACCATCATCTTTATAATCAGCATCTTGAGAGCAGCATCATCGTCGTCGCTGTTAGCAGCAGCATCATCATAATCCGTATCATCAGCAGCATCAACATCAGCATCCCCATCGTCATCATCACCATCATGCACCATCATCAGCATCATCATCACCGTCATCATCATCATCAGCATCATCATTGCCATCAGAATCATCATCATCATCATCATCATCATCATCATCATCATCATCATCATCATCATCATCACAATCAGCATCATCATCAGCATCATCATCGTAGCCGGTATCGTCATTGTCATCGTCATTGTCATCGTCATCGTCATCATCAGCATCATCAGCATCATCAGTATCGTCATGATGATCCTCCTTCTCCTCCCCCTCCTCCTCTTCCTCCTCCTCATCTTCCTCCTCCTCCTCCTCATATGTCTCCCTCTCCTGCTCATGCTGCTCCTCCTCCTCCTCCTCATCCTCCTCCTCTTCCACCTCCTCCTCCTCCTCGTACTTGATATTCTGCGCTTCATCCTACGACCGCGATTCAGGACGATGGCGGCGGCGACGACGACACGACGACGACGACGATAACGTGGGGCTGAGACGAGGGAGGGGGAGGTTGAAGGGCGAGGAGGATGGAGGAGGGAGGAGGCAGGAAGGCGGAGGAGGAGGAGGAGCAGGGAGGAGGGACGAGGGAGGAGGAGGAGGAGGAGGAGGAGGAGGAGGAGGAGCTCCGTAGCCACTGGCTCAAGCCATTTGGCTCAAGGCCATTGCCCAGGGCCTTCGCCTTCCCTGGGGTTGGGGCTCGAGGTGGCCGAGGGACCCGCACGACCCTCCTCGAGCAGCCCTGCCAAGGGCGAGGGTCTTTTTTTGTGCCCGCGCCAATGCAGTATTGTGTGCCATCTCTCCTTCGACGCCCTGCTCCCCAGGCCTTCGTGGCGTGGGGCGACGGCGAGGCTGCGAGCACCCGAGGCGTGCGTCATCAAGGGCTCCCAACTTCGCGCTTCGCGCTGCGCGAAGCGCGAAGCGCGAATAACTTCGCGCCCTCGCGCCGCCCCCCCAAAGGGAGGAAAGGAGGACGAGGAGGAGGGGGGAGAAGGAACGAGGACCGCGAAGCGCGAAGCGCGAATAACTTCGCGCCCTCGAGGGAGCCCTTGTGGAAGGATGAGGGACAGCGAAGAAGCAGGTCTGGTGGCCCCACGCGCAGGTGGCAGTGCCAGCACTGCAAGTGCAAGAAGAATCCCTACCCAGAGATCCGACGTCGTGATTTTTTTCAATGCGCTGCCCCCGGAGGTCTCGACCCATTCCCCAGGACCGGTTTTTCATCCCGAGTCGTTTTCTGACGGTCCCGAGGCCCGGCGAGGGCCCCCATGCAGGGGCCGAAAGGAGCGAAAACCCTCCGTCGTGATTTTGTTCAGGACGTTGGATCTCTGGGTGCCACGAGTGGCACTGCGTTCACTGCGGCGCTGCCTGGGATGCCCACGAGGACGCAGGAGGAGCCCCGGGCTGCCGGCGCCGGAGGATGGGCCTCCCCTGGCCGTGGGTCTGCAGCCGCCGCCAGGCCTCGGCAGGGGGGGGCAAGGACCTGAAGGGGCCTTAGCACACACAAATAAATACACACAGATAAAAAGATTCCCTATAACTTCCCATATTTTTTGGTTTTTTTTGTCTTCCCCCCCACTTCCCCTATTTTTGCATATTTTCCTGGGGAATCGACGATTCATGGTGTCTGTGTGCTTCCTTCCCTCCTGAATCGAGGCGATCGAGCAGCTCGTGGCCCTCGGTCGCCAGGCAGGAGGCTCCAGCCTGGTCTCCGAGTGCCCGCGGCTCCCTCGAGCTCGAGCTCGAGCAGCGCGAGGCCGGGGCCCCCCCTCAGGGAGCCTCCGCTCCCGGCGCGGGCCCATCGCGTCAGTCGGAGGGTCGACCACCTCGGGACGGTGCTGGACACGGCCGTCGAGAGGCTCGAGAGGTTGCGGCGCGGCGCGGAGGGCCAGGAGGCCGAGGCTGCGGCGCTCGCCGAGAGGCTGCAGGAGGCGGACGGCGACTGCCGCGACCTCCTCGGCCAATCCGAAGAGCAGCCCAAGCTCGGCGGGGGGCATCATCGAACGGGCGATATGCGGAAGCAGTGCGGCACCCGAGCGGGGGAGGCTGCCGCCCGTGTGGGAAGGCAGCGGGGGGGCAGGCGCGGAGCCGCTCAGAACAGGTGCACAGAGTAGCAGACGATTGCAGCCTGCCCTGACTTCGGATCCGCCCTACTTTGGGGAAATTCGTGAGTAGGGCTTGGAATTTCCGCCTTAGTTTTCAAGCCCCGCTGATGCCAGTTTCCGCCCTACTTTTCTGTTGCTGTTTCTGTGGATTTCCGCCCTGTTTTATGCTGGGTGCAGCAATTTCCGCCCTACTTGTTCGGCCCCGTATAGGTGGATTTCCGACGCAACTTTAAGTTGGAAAAAAAGCCAAAGTAGGGCGGATCTGGAGTCAGGGGAGGCAGAAAAAAACTGGGAGGGTCCCCGGCGCGGGCGGTGGCAATCTGGCGGGTTGGAGCCGCTGCCACTTGCGACTGTAGGACCCCCCTGACTTCGGATCCGCCCTACTTTGGGAAAATTCGTGAGTAGGGCTTGGAATTTCCGCCTTACTTTTCAAGCCCCGCTGATGCCAGTTTCCGCCCTACTTTTCTGTTGCTGTTTCTGTGGATTTCCGCTCTGTTTTATGTTGGGTGCAGCAATTTCCGCCCTACTTGTTCGGCCCCGTATAGGTGGATTTCCGACGCAACTTTAAGTTGGGAAAAAAGCCAAAGTAGGGCGGATCTGGAGTCAGGGGAGGCAGAAGAAACTGGGAGGGCCCCCGGCGCGGGCGGTGGCAATCTGGCGGGTTGGAGCCGCTACCACTTGCGACTGCAGGACCCCGGGGAGCGCTGCCGGGCGGGGTCGTTGCTGGGCCAGGAGGCGTCGGCACGCCGTTTGCCCTCGCCATGGGGAGGGGGGCCTTTCCCTTTGCCTTTTCCGCTCTGAGAGCTGAGGCGCCTCTTTTCCCTCTCCTGCTCCCATGAGGCGTCCCAGTCGGCGCGGACATGTTTGTTGTAGCAGAGGGTGCACATGTCGAAGCCGGCCAGGATGAGCTGGGAGACGAAGTCCTGGCAGAAGTCAAAAGGGAGGCGGCTTGGGTCCCTGGTGGGCCCTGTCTGCCACATCCTGTGGTCGCAGATGGCGTTCCCGCAAATGGCCTACAGGGCCACGCTCATTCTTGGAGCGGTTGGCCACTTCCTGCCATGGCGTCCTCCTGACGCTGGGCTTTGCAGTTCCAACCGGGGTGCCAGGAAATGAACTGGCGCGGTTTGTAGTTCAGCCTGTCGTCGGGGCCCCAGACCCCCGACGTCATGATTTTTTCATGACGCGACCCCCAGAGGTCCAGACCCATTCCCCGGGACCGGTTTTTCATCCCGAGTCGTTTTTTGACGGTCCCGAGGCCCGGGAAGGGCCCCCGGAGGCCGAAAATTGCGAAAAAAATCCCGTCGTGATTTTTTCGCAGCGCGAGGGGGTCTGGGGACGCTGGGCTTTGCAGTTCCAGCCGGGGTGCCAGGAAATGAACTGGCGCGGTTTGTAGTGCAGCCTGTCGTCGGGGCTCCAGCGGGGAGTGCGACGTCGCGAGGCCAGATCTAGGGGGAAAACAAACCTACCTCGCTTGTGACCACCCTCGCTTCCAAGAGATACCAAACGATGCCAAATTGCAGCCTGTACTGGTCAGGCCACTTGACGAGGAGGCGCGTGGCATGGCCTGGGTTTGCCTGGAAGCGAAAGCGGGGTAGGTCATGCGCGCTCTGAAGATCGGCGTGCGGCGGGGGGGCCGGCCCCTGGCGCCAGGGCGGGACGCGCTCCCGCGTTTCGCTCCTGTGGCCACTCCCCGATGGTCTGGTACCGGAAATCTTCGGTAGCGATTTCGACGCACCCCGAATTTCGGTAGCGACCGAATCTTCGTTTGAGGGCGTTGAAACAGCGGATTTCAGAACGGTCTGATACCGGTATTGGGTGCTACATTTCGGTATTTCGGTAGCGACCGATCTCTGCGGAGCGCTACCGGAAATTTTCGGTAGCGGACCATCAGGGCTCCCCCTGGTCTCCGGGGCTGCGGTGTTCCCAGAGACCCAGACCTCCTCGCGCCGTGAAAAAATCACGAGGGGAGGTTTTTCGCTATTTCCGGCCTGATGCCCAGACCCCCTTCAAGCAATGAAAAAATCACGACGGGAGGTTTTTCGCCATTTTCGGCCTCCGGGGGCCCTCACCGGGCCTCGGGACCGTCAAAAAACGACTCAGGACGAGTAATGAAAAAATCACGACGGGAGGTTTTTCGCCATTTTCGGCCTCCGGGGGCCCTCGCCAGGCCTCGGGACCGTCAAAAAACGACTCGGGACGACAAACTGGTCCTGGGGAAGGGGTCGAGAACTCTGGAGTCGACGCAATGAAAAAATCAGTACGTCGGGGGTCTGGGTGTCGTGATTTGTTCAATACGCGGCCCCCGGAAGCCTCGATGCATCCCCCAGGACCGGCGTTTCATCCCGAGTCGTGTTCTGACGGTCCCAAGGCCCAGGGAGGGCCCCAAGGGGCCGAAATCTGCGAAAAAACCTCCGTCGTGATTTTTTCAGTACGTTGGATCTCTAGGTTCGGAAGCCCAGACCCCCGACGTCATGATTTCTTCATGACGCGACCCCCAGAGGTCCCGACCCATTCCCCGGGACCGGTTTTTCGTCCCGAGTCGTTTTTTGACGGTCCCGAGGCCCGGCGAGGGCCCCCGGAGGCCGAAAATAGCGAAAAACCTCCCGTCGTGGTTTCTTCACGACGCGAGGGGGTCTGGGTTCGGAAGCACGGGGGGTCTTTGCGCACGGGCCCCTCGTCGTCTCCACCGGAAGCGCCGCCGATCGGACTGCGCAGCTGTCGTGCCTCGGGCCCGCGCTCCGCTCGCGGCTCCGGGAGTCCAGATCTGCATGCAGAGGCAGCGCTGCGGGGGCCCACGTGCCCAGGGATCAAGCCCTACTTACGAATTTTCCCAAAGTAGGGCGGATCCGAAGTCAGGGCTCCCGGGGCCCTCGCCGGGCCCCGGGACCGTCAAAAAACGACTCGGGATGAAAAACGGATCCTGGGGGATGGGTCGAGACTTCCGGGGACCCAGAATTGAAAAAAACACGACGTCGGACCTCTGGGGAGGAGGAAGAGCTCCAGAGGTCCGGCGTCGTGATTTTTTCGATGCGCGGCCCCCGGAAGCCTCGACCCATTCCCCAGGGCCGGCGTCTCATCCCGAGTCGTTTCTTGACGGTCCCGAGGCCCGGCGAGGGCCCCCATAGGGGCCGAACTTTGCGAAAGGCCTCCGTCGCGATTGTTGTCGAGGCGCTGGACCTCTGGGCACGCGGGCTGGGCGGGGCCGCGTCGGTGTCCTGGACGCGCGGGCTGCACCGGGGGACCTGGTGGCCTGCCGACGAGCAGCCGCGCCCGGGCCGTCGCCCGAGGTCCCGCTCGGCCGCGGGCGCGGGCTCCCGGCGGCGCCGAGGGGTGCCGCGCCGCTTCCGCGCGAGATTAATCGCGTCGGGCCGGGCGAAAGGCGGGGGGGGAATAGCACACGGGGGGGGGTCTGAGAATCCGCTCACGCGCACGGGCCGGGCGAAAGAAGGGGGGTGGGATCGCAAAGGGGAGGGGGGTCCAAGAAGCAACTCGCGCATGCGGATTCTCCCGGCGCCCCCAGGCGCCGGTCGGATCCGCTGGGGCCCCGGGAGGAGGGACGGCGTCGCTGGCTGTGAAGGTGGCTTACCAGCTGAACCAGGCAGGCGTGCCTGCCGTCCCATCGGACGTCCTCAGCGAATCCAAAGGGTGGGATGGCCTCGCCGTAGATGGTTGTGAGGAATTGCTCGCAGCTGGATTCGGTCCATGCCCTAGGATCGCCGGGCGCTCCTGATTTGAGGAGAGAGGACGCGCGACGCTCGAACGTCCAATTCTTCCACGCCTCATCACGAGCGCACCAAGCACGCACACACCCACGCGCGCACTACCCAAAGCAAAACCGTCGCAACGCCGCTCCGCCCTGAAGGTACTCAGCAGTGCCCTCAGATCGACCTGAAGCTACCCGCAGGAGTTTCCCAAGACGAGCGCCACGAGAGGAACTCGATGAACACGAGCTCGAAGACGTTTTTGCCCAGGACTCCTTGGGCGGCTCCGCCGGAGAAGCCGTCGCCCCTCGGACTGCACCGGCGGCCGCCGCGGCGGCGAGGTTACAGGGCAGTTTTTCATACATAGGATTTTTGAAAATATCGGATAAAAATTCTAATTTACGAATAAATTAATGCACGAACTCATCGTTGCTTTTTATGCTAAATCCCTGCATTTTGTCATACATGATCCGCACGCGGAGCATGCATTAAAAGCGGCACTGTACGTAGGAGTCGGGGCGGGAACTCCGGTCTTGAGCCCGTCAGCTGCTTCGAGCACGCCCGGCGCAGGTCGACCAGCCAGCGCCACGAGAAGCACGGCGAGCGGCTCGGGGGCCATATGGCCGAGGCCTCCTGGATGTCCGACCCGGCGGCGCAGGAGGTGCCGTCGTCGGGAGCCACGTCGTTGATGACCTGCTCCATGTCCGAGTCTGCGGCCTGAGGTGCGGAGGCGGCCTCTGGCTGAGGACTCATCACGATGGAGCGGACAGGAAGGTCAGGGACGTCGCGCACAACGCGTGCGCGTTGCAACCCTGGTTTCCGCGTCTTCCCCTTCTTCGGAACAGACGTCCACGCTTCTTGCAAAGCCTCTGCATCCAGAGCGTCCGAGAAGCTCTTCAGCGTCAAGGCCAGGACGGGTTGGATGTCCCCGAAAGAATCCAAGGCTGCTTTGGTGACACCGCCACTTGGTTCGCCGCAGTTTTCTTCACCCTCCTCACTCCCCCTGCTGCTCGGAGGAGGAGGAGGAGGAGGAGGAGGAGGAGGAAGAGGAGGAGGAGGAGGAGGCGGAGCGTCCTCTGGAATATCTGAACTGCTTACCTAGCCACCCTACGGGCCCTTCGGGCCGAAATGCCTCCAGAAGGGAGGTCCACAACTTGACGCGCAGCCCTGGCGATCGAACGGGCGACCGCGGCAGGAACCGCTCCGCTGGTGCCCTCGCGCTTCTCAAGATGGAGAAGACGGTGCAAGTGGAACATCAACGCCACTCCTCGAGTCGAATCCAGCGTGGGGACGACGAGGGCAAGGGCAGAGAGCGGGTCGCTGGGCAACGGACGACCTAGGGCCACCCGCACCAGCTCACGAAAGTGTTGACACCAGAAATAGTGCTTCAGGCTATTTGGGGCATCACAACCCAGGCAGCACCTACGGTCCCGATTCTGGAGACGGGTGTCAGTGACCCATCCCCCGAGCCAAGTCTTGATGCATGCGCACCTCCAACTCGGAGGCGCGCGCATCAGTACCTGCTCCACGTCGTGCCACGCCACAGCCGCGGCCTCCAGGGGGGGCACTCCGAACCATTTGGGGAGCCTCTCCGAAATTAGGCCCCTCAGATCCCCATCCCTGGAGGCCCGCAGGCCCACTAAAAGTTCACGCTGAAGACGCCTCCTCCGCCCGTCCTCCCACCGCCCCGCCCCGCCTTGGCTAGAGGAAAGGAGAGGTGGAGCGCCGCTCTTTTCGAGCAGCTCGCGCCCCGCCACCTCCGCACGCGCCAGCGTGACGGCGGGGGCGGGCGACTCCCACCAGGATGGCCAGGGCTGGCCTGTCGTGCACCGCGCCAGCGGCAGCCTGCGCGAGGCCACCTCACTCAGGTGCGCAGCAGCCCTCCGCCAGGTCTCGAGCGTCGAGAGGGCCGAGCGCATGAGGGACGCCGCCAGGAGGTCAGACGTTGGCACACATCTTGGGCCCCCCAGCGTCTCGAGGTCGAAGAAAGTGTTCTTCTTGAACAAGCTTCCCGAGCATCTGGCCAGCCGGCACAGCAGGAAGCGCTCGTCATCAATCAGCTCGGACGGCATCGGCCAGAGCTGCGCCTTGTAGGCCAGGACGGGCTGGCACCGTCGACTGTACTCAAAGAAGACAGCCGTCATGTCCAGTGGCGAGGCCGCGAGCGCCAGGACCCTCTCGCGCATGCGCGCAAGTGGCGCAGCCCACTGGGCCGCAAGCGATGCACCAGGGCCCACAAGGCACCCCAGCAGCTCCACCGCCGAGGCCACGGTGAAGGA